AGAATTTATGAGGCAAGTGTGAAGTCAGTATTTTAAAAATGTTCTCCAGATTGTTCTATGTGTAGGAGGTTGAGACCACTTGGTTCAGAGCATTATGCCCTGCTCTGCTGTGTCTGTTCCCTCTATGGCACAATACTATGCTCTCAAACACAGGAAACAGAGTGGAGCAGAGAAAGTTGCTTTTGTTATTTCCTTTGAACAAAAGAGATAGTTGGGTTAAAAAAAAAGAGGTCCTATTTTCACTGTTTCATGCTTAACACTCCCGAGTGTGGTCATAACATACCACGCTTTTAATGCTTACTGTGTGGTCCCAAATGTTCTGCAACATTGTTATTTTTGATTTTTTTTCATTTTTAGGTGCAAGATAAACCAGGGAACTTTCTGAGAATTCCTGGCATTCAGGTTGTTACATAAGCCCCTACTCTCCATTTCTACCAAAGCTGATGGATTTTGGGGCAACGCTGGCTGCCTCCATATTTATGAATGGCCCCAGGTAGTTCTCATTTCCTGGTAGGTTCCTCAAGGAAAATCTAGAACTACTCAGGAGTTAATAGCCTTCCAGTGACAACACTATACATTTTACAGCATCACAACCCATGTTGTGTGTGGAACTCACACAAAATCAGGGATATTGGTTACCATTTAGCACACCAAAGAGGTAACTGAATAGAAAACACTCCAGCTCTCCTGAGCTTATGTAAGGACTTTCCCAACATCCTGATCTATGCCCGTGGAGACTATCTAGCCTAGAGAAATAACTCCTGAATTCTAAGCAGCCCTGATTTATCTCTGTGTCTCGGGCAGCTTTGTCTTAATCGTCTTTAAGACTAATCTATGCATTTTCTGCAGCAAGAAAGGCTGAACTGACTAAGGTACTACTATTCTTTTCCCAAAAGGTACAATTTGTTTTCCTAACTCAAGATTATTTTGTTTGGTTGTCTGCTCATTTTTACATTATCAGTTTTGGCAATTTCCAAACTATAGATTGGCAGCAATAAATATTAGTGAGTCTGTCTTTTTTTTTTTTTTTTTTTAAAAAAAAAAGAAATTATGAAGAGAAAAGAATATTTTTCTTCAAAATAAAGAAATATTTAGAACACACACACATACATATAAGAATGCTAAATACACACACACACACATACACACAAGAATGCTAAACATTTTAAGACTTAGAGAAAAATTTTTTCTCAGTATAATATTTTAGGTAATATTATCAAAGATTCTCTGCACCATTTAGCTTAATGGTTGTGATGGAAATGATAAGAATCAGTCTTACCTTCAGAAATTAGCAGGAGAAAAATGACAATTGAGAGAGAAGATGCGAGAAATGTACGGGAGTTCCTCATTGTGGCTGGTGTCCCACATCAATCAACATGAAAATCTGTTTTCAGCTCTTGACTACCTCTGTCTTATTTAACAGAGTTCAAAGGATGTGGTTTCCTTCTCTCTCTTTCTTTGAAATTTCAAAGTTTACATTAGAAAATGAAACTCAAGTGAGAGCAGCCAGTGAAGGTGGCCAGTGAGCATGCTGCCAAGGGAGAGCATCCTACCCCACAGAGCAGGACGTCAGGGAGCCACATTCCCATCAGAACACAGTACAGCAGAAGGGACTTCAAAATGTCTCAGCTAAGATTTTAAAGCCTTTTTCATCATCAGCAATATTAATTTTAGTATCCATGAATGAAAGTTTTTTAAGACTTAAAAATTAGAGCTTTTAAAAAAATCCTTAAATTGGTCACTAATCAATTTTTTCCTAGCTATCTCCTTGGGTTATATAAGAATTAGTAGGTCAGTGCAAGAGGAGGTCAGGGGGAGGCTTATGTACACTTAAGCTCTTGCCTTGATTTCCCTTCCCTGCTTTGGGAAGAATGGTTTATTGTGCTTCTACCTAGAGTCCGTGGCAGGCTTGGGGTCATGGGATGGTGGTGTAGGAACTGCTGGTCCTTTTCAGCCCTCCTGTGTGCCTACATTCATTTTATGGTCACAACTCTAGATACTAAAGGTATGTCGAGTTTTCCTCCCTACCTATTTCTTTTATTTCTTTCCTCCCTCCCTTCCTCCCTCCCTCCATCCATCCTTCTTTCCAGATTTAGCTGAGAAGGGAAATGGGAGTTGGACATGAATATTTTGTTCCAGGACTGGAGAATGTCTCACTCTGAAAAGAATCAACCTCAGTCCCTGGAGGAACAGTATGGGATATGCTTGCTATCGGGATGCCTTAGCCTTTTCTGAGCAGAGGTTGTGGTCTCTACTGTGATACATGTGGTCATGTGTTCTGTCAGTCCAGCTGGTGTTGAGCTGCCAATCCCATGGTTAGCACCCTTGACCCGTTACCCTAGTGGTAACTCTCTTCTTTCCCCTCCCTTCCTTTCCTTTCCTCTCTTTCTCTCCTTTCTTGTAAAGAAATCAAAACTCTCATGACTTCAGATCTAGTGGTTACTTTTTTAGAAATCATATGACCTTACAAGGGAGCCCTTTGGAGACCCTGTTTCCTTTTTCCAGATCTTACTACGGTATCAAAGTTTAATCATTTTCACTACAAGGAGTGGGATACGCTTCTGGTTTGGGTGAGTAATTTTAGTGCACTTTTAAAAAGTCAAACTTTAATTGACTGCACCTACTAAAAATTTCTTAAAGGAAACATTGACAATTTTGGTTTTACGTGCCTGCCTGGGGTTGCCATTTTCCATTTATGTTGATTTTAACAGCTTTATGATATAATTTGCATACCATAAAGTCCATCTATTTAAGATGCACATTTCGATGGATTTCAGTATATTTACAGAGCTGTGTAAATATACTAAAACACCATAATCTAATTTATAACATTTTCATCATCCCCAAAGAAGACTTGCACCTCTTAGCTGTCACTCTTGTTAGGCAACTTCTAACCCACATTCTGTAGATTTGCCTATTTGGATATTTCAAAAAAAATAGAACCATATAGAATATAGTCTTTTGTGACTGACTTTTTCATTTAGCATAACGTTTTTGAGGTTTATCCATATTGTAACATCTATCACTACATTTCCTTTTATTGATGAATAATATTCCATTGAATAGAAATAACATTTTATTTCTTCATTCTTCAGTTGATGAATGTTTGGCTTATATCGACTTTTCAGTTATTATGAATCTGCCTCTATGAACATTCATGGACAAGTTTGTTTTTTCCATTTGAAAAATATTTTTAGTTATATTCACCATCCAGGATACAGCCTGACATAATCACAAAACCATGGAACACAGCCCACTCTAATTCAATCCCTAGCACTTCCCAGCCCCCCTGCTCCCCTCCCTCCACCCCACCAATCCTTTTTTATCCATTTACAGTTTAATTTTTTTTTTTAAACTTAAGTGTCCTGTGGAACAACCAGGACAATGGCAGGACCCACTGTGCCACATCCAGGCACGCACATATGGAAGCTCAGTCAGAATCAGTCCACCGCTCTTCCCTTTTCCTGTCCCTTCCTCCTTAATTCCCTTCATCTACTCTATTGAGCTCTCCTCTATTTGGATAAAATTCCCTCTCCCTTTTTTTCCCTTTCATTCCCTACTCCTTTATTTTGGATTAGTTTTTGCATATCAGAGAAAACATTTGACCTCTAACTTTTTGGGATGGGCTTATTTCACTTAGCATGATTGTCTTTACTTCCATCCATTTACTGGTAAGTGCCATAATTTCATTCTTCTGTATGGCCAAGTAATACTTCATTGTGTATTTGTACAACATTTTCTTTATCCATGCGTATCTTGGAGGACACAGAGGTTGGTTCCACAGCTTGGCTATTGTGAATTGTGCTACTATAAACACTGAAGTGGCAGCATCACTGTAGAATGCTGATTTTAAGTACTTTGGATATATACTGAGGAGTGGGATAGCTGGGTCATAGGGTGGTTCCATGTCTAGTTTCTTGAGGATCTCCATAGTGCTTTCCAGAGTGGTTGCAATAATTTGCAGTTCCACTAACAATGTGTACCTTTTCCCCCACATCCTTGCCAACATTTATTACTATTTATATTCTTGATAATTGCCATTCTGTCTGGAATAAGATGCAATCTCAATGTAGTTTTGCTTTGCATTTCCCTAATTGCTGGAGAGGTTGAACATTTTTTCATATATTTGTTGGCCATTAGTGTTCCTTTTTTTGAGAAGTTTCTGTTTAGTTCTTTTGCCCATATATTGATTGGATTATTTGGGTTTTTTTTTTGTGTTAAGTTTTTTTTTGAGTTCTTTATATATTCTGGATATTAATACCATATCTGAGGAGCAGGTGACAAAGATATTCTCCCATTCTGTAGGCTTTCTTCATACTCTCAATTGTTTCTTTTGATGATCATGTACAAGTTCTTAATGCAGATAATGTTTTTTATTTCTCTTGGGTCTATATCTAGGAGTAGAATTACTGGATACCTGAGTAATTACATAGTAAGTATATATTTAGCATTTTGAGGAATTTCTGTTTTCCAAAGTGGCTGTGTAATGAAGGTTCTAATTTCCCTATATCATACCAATATTGTTTTTTTTTTTTTGATAACTGCTATTCTAGTGGGTGTGAAATAGTCTTTCATTGTGGTTTTGATTTACATTTCCTTAATGACTAATGGTATTGAGCTTCTCATGTGCTTATTTGCATTCATATATCTATGGTAAAATATCTATTCAAATCATTTGTTTCAGAACTGGGCTATTTATCTTTTTATTATTGTGGTATAAGTTCTTACATATTCTGTGTTCTTTATTTATTTATGTGATTACAACTCATATGTAAATCCATTATAACATATATGATCTGAGGAGGTGATTAGGATGCTTTGTTATATTTTCTTCAGAACCTGAAGTAGGTATCCTCTTATTTATGTCTCTCCCTCATCTAGACCTGGAGCCTTTGAGGATGGTGATCATGACTTATCCCCCTCTGAATTTACAGTGCTGGGCATAGTGCCTGGTGCATATGAGCCCTTAAGAAATGTTTGAATTAAATTGGACAAATCAGAATCATTAAAGTGTGGCTTTATTGTAAGTTAGCTCTTTGGAGAAAAAGCAAAACAAAAAGATAAGATACAAATGGTAAATGGTAAAAGAAGTCAGTTTTCTTTGTTGTGTATCAATTTATTAACATAGAACTAAGTTTAGTGCTCATGTGTAGAGCCAAGACCCAATGCACTTCTTTCTATAAGTTGAATGAACTGAGGCCTACTGGCAGATGAAACTTTATTCTATTTGTAACTAATAAATGATACAATTTCTCTGAACTATTGCTTGCTTGAAACTTCACATTTTTCAAATATCTAAAACATACACTGAATCTTTCTTATTGTCTTATATTTAGAATTTAGTAAAAAGTTCAAATATATAGAAGTATAAAGTAAGAAAGAAAAATACCCCTCCATCTCTTTCATAATTCCATATTGAATAAAATCTCAAGCTCTAAATTCTAAGGGTCACAGGAATTTTGGAAAGTTGAAGTATATTCTGTTTTTTTTTCTGGGATCAGATTCTTTTCAACAGCAAATACAGTAGGGACATTCCTCAAATTTTGAATAAAGCAAGGGGTTTCTGAATAGAGGAACTTTTCCCCAAAGGATGTCTCTTGCTATGGAAAGAGAATAAGTGCGAAGAAGATGCAATCTCAGCAAAGCATGCCGGAGTGACGGCAGGAAGCCACTTCTTTGACTGATGGCTCTTGAGACAGACTATAATTCACGCACAAAGTTGGGAGGCTCTCTGAGGTGCTTCTTAGGTCAGGTCAAGTTTAAGCCCCCTTTTCTTGGAGTCTCCTGGAAGTCACCTCAGATGTCTGTTTTGAAGAAGCCATGTCATATGGCTCCTGCAATGGTTTTCTTTATCCAGTTGAGATATTTGTTTGTAAGGAGAATGTAGACACCAGGTTTCTTGGGGTTACCACATTTTCCAAAGGAAGTGACACCGATGAAAATGTTATTGCATATCAGAGGACTTCCAGAATCCCCCTAGAATAGAAAGTCATGTATTAAATAAGAGTGCTTTCCTGATGTATTTATTTGCCATTTTATTTGTTCATTCACACTTCACCTATGTCTTCTATTTCTCTTTCCTATTTAAGCATAATTTTATTTTATTTTATTTTTTTTATTTATTTCTTACATACATGACAATAGTGGAATGTATTACATTCATAATTATCCATTCATAGCACAATTTTCATAACTCTGTATATAAAGTATGTTCAGCCAAATTATGCCATTATACATGAGCTCTCTTATTGTTTTTTTTTGCATTATAATTCTTAATACACCTTTATACCACAATTTATCATATCTCTGTATGTAAGGTATGTTGACACCAAATTCACATCTTCATATATGTATTTTGTATAATGATGAAGGTTTGCTTTCACCATCCTTGCTATTCCCCTTCTCTCTCCCTTTCCCTCCCACCCCTATTGTCTATCTAGATTAAACCTAATTTTAAATTTCGTATTACTTGCCTGCACTTAGCACCAATTAACATAAATATGCTTATTTTACCCAATCATTTTTCCTTTTGAAGAAGGCAATTCTGGAGATGTGCAAACTCATCTTCATCAATAAAACCAAGAAAGAGGGCTAGGGTTGTGGCTCAGTGGTAGAGTGCTTGCCTAGCATGTGTGAGATGCTGGGTCAGATTCCCCGGACCACATTGAAATGAAATGAAATAGTATTCTGTCCATCTACAACTAAAAATATGTAAAAAAATTTAAAAAAAGAACCAAGAAAAACAAAGAAATCCTTTAGTGATGAAAAAAATTGTTTCTTTCAGTTGATGCATGTCCTTTTTTCTTGGTCAATAGATGTCTGGGGGAGAAACTGAAGGTTGGGGCTACTAAAAGACTTGAGTTGGGACCTCAACTACTCCCTGTTCTGAGGAGGGCACTAGCTAAGCCAGCTCAGACAGAGAGTATCTGTGATATTTCAGACAGTTTTTAGGGATCCTCCACCTGGCCCAGAGATTCATCAGCTCCCATTTATATATTCTCTCTGACCTGACAAGCACCTGTGCTTAGTGAGTTCTAAATAGGTTGAAACCTTGGTCAAGTCTGTTCTTGGCACAGTAAGAGGCAGAACAGTGCAGGTGTCAGGAGACAGACAACCTTGGTTAAATCCAGGTTCAACCTCTGATAGCTGGGTTATTTAACTTGGGGAAATCAAGTAACTTTTTTTTTCTTTCCCAAAAATCTTTCGTTTTTTTTTTTAAAGAGAGAGAGAGAGAGAGAGAGAGAGAGAGAGAGAGAGAGAGAATTTTTTAATATTTATTTTTTAGTTTTCGGCGGACACAACATCTTTATTTTATTTTTATGTGGTGCTGAGGATCGAACCCAGAGCTCCGCGCATGCCAGGCGAGCGCGCTACCGGCTTGAGCCACATCCCCAGTCCCCAAAACTTTCATTTTTAATACAACATAGAAATCAATCTTTACGTTTTAGAAAACATATTGAAATAAAGCCTTGAGTGAATAAAAAGTTTAGGGGAAACTCTTTGGATATATCTGAGTGACAAAGGAGTGCTGTTTTTGTGACAATATAATCATTCATTCCAGCCAATTTACTTAAGAAAGCAAATCTACAATAAATGAAATAAGTAATCTTTGAGAAAAAGACTGTAATCTAATCAGGATTAGGAAATTAAGTAACTTTCTACACCTTTTTCTTCATCTTAAAACAGATGACAATAGTGCCTATCTCATGGTGTTATGTGAGAATTAAGTGGCATATCAAAGTGTTGTTGAGTTTGGTACAGTTCTTTGTTCTTACTCCTGAACTAACTATTCTCTAGCAGCAAAATTGTTACCCATCATGATTAAAACCATATACAGAAAGTGATCATTAGTAAGCTGGGAACACCCTCGAGCAGAGGGTTTCACAAGGCACCAGGCAGCACGATACCATACCAGTGTCAAGCTGTAGTCCTCAGGCCTTGTACATGAAAGATAATAACAACTTCTACCTCATTCTTCTTAGGTACTCTTTTACCCTTTTATTTCCTGGTTAAAATTTTTAATTTACTTACTTCACATGAATCATCTTCACCTTTGTTACCACCAGCACAGATCATACTGTTCTCAATAACTGGCTTGAAATTATAATGCTCTGCATCATTGCATATTTTCCGGTCTATCACGGTGACATTGACTTCTCTCAAGACATGTGAAACTTTGCAAGAGTCTTTTTTGGTGCTTCCCCATCCTGCCACATGACACTTGGTGTGGGGTTTGACGTCTTCTCCTCTTTGGGGTAGCTGAAGTATTCCCACAGCTTTGCTCATAGTTGCTTTACCTTTCAGCTAGAAGACAGGAGATGGAGTTGCTTATGCTCCAGTGTGGGAGGCAGAGGAACAACACAGCCTAAACTCTAACAGAGGGTATTAAATATTTTGGGTAAAAGTGCAGAAGGGACTGAGGCCAGGTGGGGCAGGAGGGGAGCTACCTTTGATACCCAGGAGGGAGTTAGTGTCTGGGGGCATGGAGGAGGAGCAGAGGCCTGAGGGTGAAGCTAGGCCTGATGGTCTCCAGGTGGATATTGAGGAGGGCTAGGTTGTCAGTATTGGGGACAAGGAATGTGGAGGTTTTGTCAGAGGTGCATGAGTCCCAGGGCCCTCTGTGCTTCTGATGATGAGGGTGCACGAAGGCCTGGGTAATCCTTCTGCTCATGCTCCATCTTCCAGAGCTGCCTTCCTATTCCAATTTCTGCACAGCAGCCAGAATGATTATTCTAACAAGTCTGACAGTGTTGCTACCCTGCTTAAAACACCTTCCCATTTCCTTCCCCATACCTTTCAGACTCTTAACAAGGTTTGCAAGGCCTGGCTTTGTGGTCTATATTCTGCTAACTTCCTTTTCTCAAAATTCATAACTCCCTTTTCTCTCCTCTTCCTCCAAGTGATCCCTCTTATAATGCTGTCCTTCCTACTTGGAGGCCCTCCCCACTTTTTTCCTGGCTGCCTAGGAAACTGCTCTGACTCCCTGCTCTCCCCATGTACCCCCATAGAGCCCTCTTCTTTATCTTTGTCACTGATGAGCAAAATGCCATCAGTGCCTTAAGATCAGAGCTGGTGATTTGTCTGTCTTTCCCTCTAGGCTTGAGTGCCTTCAGGGGAAGTTCTGATTACTACTTATCTTCTGAAGAAGAAAAAAGCAGGCTGCCACTAACAGCTAAGCACTCAGAACTGGGTCTCTGCTTTTCCGGTTGCTCATAAATACAGATTGTCACTATCAAACAAGGTGACCCTAATGAAATAGGAGGGAAAAAAGGCAGCCACTGCCAATATTTTTCTGATTGTAGAATGATGTAGAATTACATTGGTCATATAGTCAAATATGCACATAGGAAAGTAATGTCCCATTCATTCTACTATCTCTCCTATTCCTATTCCCTGCCCTCTTCCCTTCATTCCCCTTTGTTTAATAAAAAAAAAAAAAAAGACAGCCACTGGCAGAAATGACATCATTGTTCATATTATAAAAATGACAAATGCTCCTCTCTTGGATGAAATCCACAACTGTTGCATCTTTACCAATTACAATGTTAGCTTATTTTTTTTCCTGTTCTTTCTGCCTCTTGGATAAGATTTATTTAGATGCATAATCATAGAATTGTCCCACTTGCTGACACTCTGCATTTCAGAGAACACTGCTACTTCCTTGAAACTTCCCCTAAGTTTCTGGACACAAGCTCAAATCCTAAAATAAGCCCCTTCTTATACAATCTGAGTGGATTGTGCCCTCGCTAGCATCAGTCAAATCTGTTTGACTCTGGGTGGGTTCCTGGTGCTTTTTAAAAATTTTTTTCTTTTGTTCTTATTAGTTATATATAATAGTAGAATTTTTTGACATATTATACATATATAGAGTATTACTTTTCATTTTTCTGATTGTAGAATGGTGTAGAATTACATGGGTTACATAATCATATATGTACATAGGATAGTAATGTCTGATTCATTCTACTCTTTCCTCCTATTCCTATTCCTCCTCCCTTTCCTTCATTCCTCTTTGTCTAATCCAAAGTATTTTTATTCTTCTCTACCATCTTCTTATTGTGAGTTAGCTGCTAAGTGAAATAAGCCAAAAACCAAAGGCATAATGTTTTCTCTGATATGCAAATGCTAACTCCTGGTGCTTTTTGATTAATGAGCATCAACTCTTTAGATGGCCAGGTCCTACCACAATAGGGGGAAGGAACACTTGTTGCAATAGTGCTGGCCTTGCTGTTTAACCTCTTACTCGTGGTGTTAGCTAACCTTGTGAGGTCAAGGGTATAGAAATTGGTTTCAGGTTACACTGATCTTTCTACCTTTCCACTCTTTCAAAATAGTTAATGGAAAAAAAACCCCACAACTGAACAAAACTGCAAACATATTTACCTGAAGGAGTTGAAGATCCCCTTCAAATGTCTGTGGATCATAGCATGGATAGGGAATTGCCTTTTGAATAGAAAATACTTGGTCAAGTTTCTCTTTAGGGGATGTAGAGTGGGCCCCAAGAATAATTTGAGGATTTTCCTTCCTAAGAAGAACAACAACAACATATAACTTATGCATGAGAATGGATAAAGTTAAATTGTGGACTTAGTTTCTTCAAGTTTGATCAGTGTTTTTAAATGTTTTCCTATTTATAAATAAGCACAGCAAGACAGGGAACTTAGGGAGAGTCTTGGGTGTTTTAGTGCCTCTACTTCAAATCTCAAGGTATGTATTGGGGGATATTGCTTCAACCTCACCGCATCTTTTCAAGGGAAACAACAGGAATGGAGGCCCAGACCTTCTGGCAGAGGCAAGAGCACTGGCTGGAGAGACCTGGAGAGGTCTGCTGGGCTCCAGCTTGGAGTGGGGGCTTCCACTGGGGTGGACAGTGCTGGAGGTCCCCACGGGAGGAAGGTGGGCTCTGCCATTTGGAGGCTGAAGGAGCAGCTGACAGTTTCTTCATCTGCTTCAGATTTGTGGAATAAAACCTTCCCCCATTGGCTTCTAGGTTGTTGACACCTAATGGAAATGAATAAACTCAAGAACTAAAACAGAAGTAGGTGGTTTACTTTTCTGGGCTTTAGGGAAATAGTTTGCCTTGCTGAAGTCTTTAAAGATAAGAAAGGTTGACCTGAGTCATGCTTTTTAGAGGCTGGAATGAAGAAAGGAATCTTGGTTTGGATTTTTTTTTTTAATTTGTTTTTAGTTGCAGATGGACACAATACCTTTATTTTTTATTATTTATTTTTATGGGGTGCTGAGGATCAAATCCAGTGCCTCTCATATGCTAGGCAAGTATGCTACCACTGAGCTACAACTATGGCCCAGAACAGTGGTTTTATAGTTAAAATTTAAAGCCAGGTTTATATAAACACATGCATGCATAGGACACACACACACACACACACACACCACATAGAGAAGCAAGCCAAAGTAGAGCTAACCATAAATCTAGTTTATGAAATTAATAATAGCTATTACAGAAGAGGGGGGCAAATCTTTTCACCAAATAGGCCTATTAATTAAGTGTATCAGAGCTAATCCCTCCCTCACCTCCTGTAAATTAAGCTGATATTCATCCCTGACAAATTCTTATTTTACACAATATAATATAAATCTGTTTGAATCTCCTTTGTGAGAAGCTCATTTTTAATATTCTTTTTTGTTCATGCAATTTGTGTAAGAGAGAAAAGGGAAGTGACAGGTACTGGTTACCAACAACAGGTACTGATTAAGAAAATAGCAGTATATCTACATGATAAACACTAGTCTGCCTTTCAAATTATGACTAGAAAAACTATTTGTCTGAGCCACAGGAAATTGCTATTTTTTTTAAAGTTAAACAAATAGCAGTAATTTCATATGGACTGGCTAATCACAGATGACATTTAATTTGTTCAACCTTGTAAATTATGCTTATGAAAGAAGTCTGGGACAAAATATACCAAAATACTGACGGTGATTGTGTGGGGTTGATGAGATCAAGTATTATTACTTTTAAACTTTCCTATTAAAATATTCAATAATGCTGTTATTTATAATTTAAAAATAACAAATAATATGAGAAAATGGTCAGGCATTTCATTCTTACTCTACAGATTCTGGCTTTTGCTCAGAGGTAAACGTTATAATAAGACATAGCACTGAATGTGCTTGCCTGCTTTCTTCTCCATCTTAAATTTTGGTTTTGGACTTGATAGCCATTTCTACTTCCCTGCATCAACCTTGAGAATGAGAGGGACTGAGATTACTTACACATCACAGTGAGCAGCTGTCAGCACCCAGCTGTCTTTGATCAGAGCCCCTGCGCAGATTTCCAGCCCTTTGATAAGAGCCATGTAGCGTCTTGCATGAGGTGCTACTTCTTTTCCTCCTATGATTCCTTCGCAGGATTCTAGAAAAACTAAAAGAGTGATCCAGAGTGAAATCTTACCTTGCCCAGACATCCTTGTCCTGAGAAAACTTGGCTATAATGAATAGATTCAGTGCGAGTTCATAGCCATGTACTTTGATAGACAGAGGACCAAGCAGTCCAGGTGGTGGTGGAGGGTGCTTTCTTCTCTAGAACTCTTCTCTGTGATTGCATCTCCTGCAGCACTTCATGTGCGACAGTGTTTTTAAATTAGTAGTACTTGTTTTTTGTGTTAATTTTATCATAAGCATACATTCCTATTATTTTAGATCTAAAGCTCTTTTTTTTTAATTGCCACATGTTCAAATTGATTTTTCTCTCTGTGTCATGTTAGGGTAAAAAAGATAAATGTATAGAAATGCTCCTTTTTCTATTATGTTTCTCAAACTTTAGTGTAATCATAATTGAGTACTTCTTAAAATGTGGATTTTCTAGACCCATCTCCAGAGAGTTTAGTTTAGTATCAGAGAACCTGCATTTCATTTTTTTTTCTCCTTTTCTTTTCTTTTTTTTTCCCTCTTGGTACCAGGGATTGAACCCAGATATGCTTAACCACTGAGCAACATCCCCAGCCCTTTTCAATTTTTTTTTTTTTTTTTTTAAGTTTTGAGATCAGGTCTTGCTAAGTTGCTTAGAGCCTGGTTAAATTGCTGAGGCTGGCTTTGAACTTGGGATTCTTCTGCCTCAGCTGCTGGGATTACAGGTTTGTGCCACCATGCCTGGCTGGAACCTGCATTTTGAATCATTTGGAATCATTTTAGGACCTCTTTTCTAAGCAATTTTCACACTCCCTTTTTTTCCATGCAATTATTCCACAATAATTTTTGAGTAACTACTGTTAAAATGGTGCAAAGATGAATGAAACATCATTCTTGACATTGATGAGCTTTAGTAGTAGAAACATGCAAAGAACAAAGCTGTGGATAAATGCATAAAGAATGACAATGCTCGAAAGTGCCTGGAGAGGGTCACAGGAGGAGCTGCAGGGCTCAGAAAACGCCTTTGGCAGGAAGGTGGTGAGGTCTCTGTGAGGACTGTTTTTTCCTTGAAGGACATTGGAAAGTGGTATAAATCTTTAGCAGGTGGAGCTGGAGGAGATTTCAAGTTAGGTGTGATATAATTAAAAGTCATCATGGTCAGGCATTATGAGAGTGAAGCAGATCATCTACAAGTAACATTAGACTAAATTTAACAATTCATCATGTTTAAATGCTTTTGAGGGACAGATTTGTCATGTGTCTTAGAGCTAGTCCTTAACATTTTAACTGTTAGCAAAGTGATTTTTATTTTTAAGCTCCAACTTAAATTGTTCCTTAATAATTTAAAACATTTTTTAACATAATATTTATTTCCTGTATTTATCACTACTTAAAATACAGGTAGGAATTGTCCAGCAATTTCTTTCTTTTTCATTTTTTGGTACCAATGACTGAACCCAGAGGAACTTAATCACTGAACCACATCCCCAGCCCTTTTTATATTTTATTTTGAGACAGGGTCTGCTAAGTTGCTTAGGGACTTGCTAAATTGCTGAGGCTGACTTTGAATTTATGATTCTCCTGCCTCACTCCCTAATGCTGGGATTACAGCCATGTACCACTATGCCCGGCTGGTCCAGCAATTTCTTTTTTTGTGGGGCTGGGATTGAACCCTGGGCCTTGTGTGTGTTAGGCAAGAACTCTACCAACTGAGCTATATCCTCAGCCCTTCAGCAATTTCTTAAAGATCAAGAAATCAAAAGATTAAAGACCCAGTAACACATAGTCAGGGCAGAGTGGTAAGGACCCCCCTTCTCCTGACTCCCTACCCTTCAAGGTTGTCACTTCTAAGGACAGGATTGTCTCAATCTCAGGCTGAACACTGTGTTATTAGCCTTAAAAATCTCACAATATTCCATAAAAAGGTTATTATTTGGAATTATAGTTTAGTAAGTTATATTAAAAACAAAGAAAAAAAATCAGCAACTATGGTAACAGTAATGAAGACATTTAAGATATACCAGACACCCTTTAGTGTTAGACACTCGCCATAATACTTAACTACAATAGAAAGTGGGTATTATTATTTCCATGTAGATAAAAAGATGAAGTAGACAGATTAACTAACTATCCCAAATTCACACAGCTAGTGATGGCAAAGTGATGTTCTAGCCTACTTATGCATAGTGCAAAATCCACATTTTTTCCCCTTGTTAATCACTGCTTCTTAAAGTATTGGCTCTTTTTTTTTTAATACAGAGTTTTGAGAAACTGATAAAATAAAATACACATATTCAAGTAAGTATTTGCATTCAGTGTCAAGACTCAGAATTTTTAATGCCTCAGTATGGCTTTGAATGAACTTATAGATCCCACAATAGGAATCCCAGCTCTGAAGGTATCACTGAACTATATATATCATAGTACATGAATGTGAACTCTGAGTTCGAATCCCAACCCTACTAATTGCTAGTTGGTAAACCTTAACACATTTACTTAATTAATCTCCCTGGTCTTCGTTCCTCATATGTAAAATATGGCTGATAATAATAGTTAAGAAGATTAAATGGGTTAATATGTGAAAATCAATTAGAATATTACTATTTTAATTGTGAGTTTTATTAAGCATTCACACACACACACACACACACACACATTATAGTAGGTAATTTTATACCAATGTTTTTCTTAATGGACCCTGATCCCCTACTAGAAATGGACATATCTACAAACAAATCCTGAAATTAAAAGTTTTAAGGTTTATTTGAGAGCTATGATATTCAATTACATTTGTATGATTGAGAGGTCCAGTTAATAAGTAAACTATTCATATCTAATTTAATGGCTTTGTCAGTTTTTCACTTAAAGACTTTGCTCTGTAGATCTGATATGGATTTATAAGAGCTACCAGATACAGTTAATGTTTTCATATTTTGCTATGGTTACATAGGATACATTTTTGTAAAAAGCCAAAGTGATTTTTAAGTGAAGACAAATGGTTGCATTAAAAATGGTTGGAATTTTTTATTTATTTTTCCTTTTCATGGGATGTAAATTAAACCAATCAGATACCCACTTTCTCACAAATGAAACTAAAAATCATATGAAAATATGTCTTACCTCCAGGAAGTAGAAGAAGAAAGATGGCAGTAGGGAAAGAGAAAAGAGAAGGCATTTTCATTGCCTCTGTTATCCACACTATGGAGAGCATTCAGTTTCAGGTATAGACTTTAATAATATATAATGAACACCCAGGATGTGGTTCTCTCTCTCTCTCTCTCTTTCCTTCTTTGCTGTGGTGTTGAAGATTTTGGTGTTTTATTACTGGAAAACACAACCTTAATCTGTGGTATGGTTACTTACTTGTTTCACAGTAAGGTCATTTCCTTTGGGTTTAGATGTCTCCGACCTTAAAGGGCAAATGTGAAGTGATGAGACCATGTCAACTTAAGAATATTAAAATAAAAACTATTCTTCAAATGAAATCATTCAATTAAAAATGGGCTAAGGCATTGTGGCTCAGTGGTAGAGTGCTTGCCTGGCAGGTGTGAGGCACTGGGTTTGATTCTCAGCACCATGTATAAATAAATACATAAAATAAAGGTCTGACCAAAAAAAAAAAAATGGGCTAAGGATCTGAATAGATGCTTGTCAAAAGAAGACATATGAAAACATGTTCAATATCATGAGTCACCAGGAAAATGCAAAACAAATCTACAGTGAAATTTCATCTTACCTCTGAATAACAATCATTAAAAAGACAAGAAATAACAAAGGGAGGCAAAATGAGGACAACTCTTATACATTGTTGGTAGAAATATAAATTAGTAGAGTCATTATGGAAAACAGTAGGGAGAGTTCTTAAAAAACTAATAGTAGAATACCATATGCTCCAGCATTGGATATGCATCCAAAGACAATATTTTACCAAAGGGATATTTGCACGCACGTTTACTGCAGCACTGCCACATAGCTAAAATATTGATCAACCCAGTTGCTCATCAGTGGATAAATGGATAAAGAAAATGTGCTATAAATACAAATGGAATATTATTCAGCCATAAAAACAATGGAATCCGGTCATTTGGAGCAACATGGATGGAATTGGAGGTCATTCATTATGATAAGTGAAATAATCTAGATACAGAAAGACAAATACCTCCTGTTTTCATTTGTGGAAACAAAAATGAATTTCATAGAATGGAGTAGAAAAGCGTTCACTATAGGCTGAAAGGGCACAGAAGGAGGTTAATTAGGGGCACCAAAACACAGGATAAATTAATTCTGATTTTCTATAGCCAAGTAGAGTAAAAACTGGTTAAAACAATCTGTGATGTATTTCAAAATGTCTAGAATTTAGAGTTTGAAATTCCTAATGCACAAAATAATTAATGTTTGAAGAAATGGAAGTGCTTGTTACCCTGATTTGATTATTACACATTGTATACACATATAATATTATTATAAACCACAAAGATGTACAAAGATTATGTTTCAATAAAAAATTTCCAAAAAAGGACATTGCTCTCCTTTGAAAACTTTTTTACTTTCAAATAAGACCTTATTTCAGAGCTGAGAATTTAAGTTGTCTTAGCATGTTTTGTGCTGCTTATAGAATTCTGGAGACTGGTTGATTTATAAACAATAAACACTTTACCCTACATTCCTGAAGGCTGGAAGTCCTTGCCCATATCTGGCAAGAGTCTGCTTGCTGCATTATAACACAGTGGGAAGCATCATTTTTCTGGAGAAAACCTTGTGCAGTAAAAATGTAATTTAAAACTCTTAGGTACTATATTTTTCTGACAAATTTCTAAAGGTTAAAAAAAAAGAATCCTTTCTGTGGTTGGGAATTCTTGTGTGTTGATTGTATTTCAAACTGCTACTGTCTTTTTGGTGGAAGAGAATAGCATATAAAGGGCTATTAAGTTTTTTGGTCTTTTTAAAATTTTTATTTGTTCTTTTAGTTATACATGACAGTAGAATGTATTTTGATGTAACATACATACATAGAGTATAACTTCCCATTCTGTGATTGTGCATGATGTAAAATTACACCGGTCATGTAACCTAACAAGTCATGTCTATGACTTGAAAAACAATTGGAACATACATTAAAATTTAGCTATAAGAAATTCTACTGCATTATTTTTTTGTAATGAAAAGAAAGTTGAAAGCAATCTAAATGGATTAACAAAGGATTGGGTAAGTGTGTTAGTTTCCTATGGCTACTATAACAATGACCACAAACTCGTTGGTGGCTTACAACAATGTGTAGTTGTGTAGTCTGTAGGTCAGAAGTCTGATTTGGGTCTCACAAATCAAGGTGTGGCAAGGCAGAGATCCTTTCTGGAGGCCATGGCCTTTTCCAGCTTTCAAAGGCTGCCCATGTTCCTTGGTTTATGGCCCCATCACACCTTCAAAGCCGGCAATGGCCAGTGGAGTCTTTCTCACATCATATTACCCTGACACAGACTCTTTTGCCTATTGCTTCCTCTTTTAAGGGTCCTTGAGATTGCATTAAAGACCCTTGTAATAGCATAGAGTAATCTTCCTATTTTGAAGTAAATTGATTATAATATTAATTCCAACCCACAATCTTGCTTTTTGTTATGTGAACTAACATTCACAGGTGCTAGAGATTAGGTTGTGGGCACTATCCAAAAACAGCCAGCATGATGGAACGGAAGAATAGACTAAAAAGGCTCAAGAAACGTGGCAGCTGAAGAAAAACTTCTGGTGGGTTTGAGATGTTGAGACAATGGCTCACATGTGATGATGTGTCTTCCAAAACTAGAATATGGGAATCTCTACGGATGAAGACAAAGGAGTGGTTCCTCTCATCAAGACCCCCTGTGAACCTTCTGCATATTTTTTTTTCTGTCTCTATGACATTGGGTTCTGATGGGTTTAGAAGTCCTGGTGACTCTTCTGTTGGGACAAAATAAAGCACTGAGAGCTCTATTGAACAGGAAGTTGAGAATAATGGATCAATTTAGGGTTCTCATGCCAGTGAAGTAGCAGGGAAAGAACAGACTTACTCTACTGGGTTGGGGTGATTGCAGTGGACTGGCTTATCACAAGGGAAGCATAAGTGAGCTGGGTGAACATGGGAGAGTGTGTATGGAACCCAGGGCCATTCACTGGATATCACTGGTACTTCTGTGCCCAAGGACAATGGTGAAAGAGCAATTGCAATGCCATGACCTGACAAAGGCAAGGACTTAGGTTCCTTGTAGAAGAAGGTCTGGGTCATCAAATGAAGAGAGAACCCAAGAGCAACCAAATTGCTGGCTACAGTTTATAAAACTTTGGATTGGGTGGCAGAGAAGGGAGATGAGGCATTTCATTGACTGATGGTGGCAGAAGAGATCATAGCTTTTCCTACTATCTTACCTCAAGTCTTTTTAGAGATTGCCACTGGTCACAAGCCTGGAGGAGACTCTGCCTGCATGTCTACCACCTTCTAACTCCTCACAGGTACCAGGGAATCCTGTTCTCTTAAAAATGGAGGTACCATGTAGTATTATATAGAGGCCAGTCATAATGGGAGGGCACTAAGAACGTGGATTACATACATTTGAGTATAGCTTTGGTGATCTCTGTTTTATGTGCCTGGGCCACTTACTCCCTCTGAGCTGCTATTTCAGCAACCAGCTCTATCTGGGTTATAACCAGCATCACATAGATGCTACCAAATGTTGCCATAACTAGGCCCTCACAGTATATTTCTCATTTCTGCCTCTTACCTTTCCCATTGCCACTGGGATGTGGGATGTCAAAATATCCTTCTAGTACCCACACATAAACCAGAAGTGAAGAGGGGGCAGGAAATGCCCCGTGAGGAAACTGACCAAGTGAGACCACCAGTGTAAAAATTCTCATTTTCCTGCCCTAGGTAGACTAAATTGGGGTTGTTGTTCAAATAAAACCCAGAAAATGGTCCAGTGAGATAAAGTATCACTGCACCTCACACCAGAGGAGGCCATCATGGCAGGACACCCTGCAGAGACTTCTTGCCTGCCTCTCGTTTGCCCTTGCTTCACTGTGGTTACACTGCTTAAGAAAATAGCAGCATCTGAGCTTGTGCCTCAGGCTCTGCTTTTTGGAGGTAATTGCTATAAACAAAACTGGTTAGCTAACATTATTATTTTGTTTATGTTGTATATATACACATACATGTAAAAATTCAGAAGGAAAAAAATCTGAGGACATATTTTATTTAATACCAGATCAAATTGACAATCAAAATTGACCATTACAGTGTATACACACACACACACACACACACACACACACACACAATGTCACCATGCAGAAGGGAAGCTCTCTTAATGTTACTTATATTTTCTCATAGTCTTTCTGTCCCTTTGTCCATCCTTTACCCACATAACAATTCACAATTCACCGGTCTTTAATGAGGGTATCTTGCATTCCAGGCACTGCAATAAGCTTGAAAAGTAAATATTGCACTATCAAAATGGTAGGATAAATACCATTTTGGAACTGATGTGCAATAATTTTGTTAATGTATGGAATTGATATATATTATGATTTCAAAAAAATGCTTCAGTTAATATATATTTGATTAGGTGCCTCATATATGCTGGGCTCACTGCTGTATGAAGACTTGCATCCTGGGGCTGGGGATATAGCTCAGTTGGTAGAGTGTTTGCATCACATGCACAAGGCCCTGGGTTCAATCTCCAGCACAAAAAAAAAAAAAAAAAAAAAAAAAAAAAAAGAAGAAGAAGAGATGCATCCTGGCCCTTAGGACCTAGATTATGTGGGGAAATAAAAAACCAGCCAACTGTTTCAGGAACCTCAGTGTGGGAAGTAGTTGGAGATGAGGTTAGAATGCTGAAAACATTATAGAGACTTTTAGCACCATGATAAATGAGGTCCATGGACTGTCAAAGTGGGAGCCAGCAAAGGGTTTTAAGTGGGCACAGGATTCTGTCTTCATTAAAGAGGGACCAATCTGGTACCAATGTGGAGGCAATGCCAGCTCCTGAGTGTCTGTACATAAGAGGTTTCTGGGACAGCAATCTGCTGGAAGTTGGGAATTTGGGAATTGTCTTGGAGCAATGTTTTCATAGCAATATCCAGTTTTAACTTACAGCAAGAGCTTATTCAGAATGGGGTGCTTAGTAGAGGGGATGGCAGAAGCCTCATAGTATGGGGAGAGGCTGAAAGTTCAGTGATGGAGGAGTGGGTGAGGCTAGAGAGACACAAGGTGATTAGTATGGAAATTATTGTCAAGGTCTGAATTGACAGATTCTGTG